CCCAGAACACGGCCAAAGAGCCCGAAAAACCCACAACAAACATCAGATCCTGGCCATGAAAGCCTTCAAGAATACAAGAAAGGAGTAACCTTGGGGCAGTCACCATCTCGCAGCCTAACTTACTGTAGGATGGTTGTGACAATAAAATGGGAGGCAGAGTGTGTGCTGCCTGGAATTCCCTGGAGAAACTGTGGGGTGTAAATCTAATGAGCAGGAAAGCAAGCAAGAAGGAAAGCAAGCAAGAAGAAAAGCAAGCAAGAAGGAAAGCAAGCAAGAAGAAAAGCAAGCAAGAAGGAAAGCAAGCAAGCAAGTCCCAAAAAGCAGAGGTTTGTTGTCTAAGAGCATCACCACAAGTTGCTAAGGTTCATCACAACCTCGCCATTTCTGTACCACAGAGGCCTGGTTTAAGGCAGTGCGGGGCAGTAGGAAGAGTGGTAGATAAAAGTTTGGGAGATTTGTGTTCAAGGCCTTCACCAGAGCTTACTGGATGACCTTAGGTCGATCATTCTCCCTTAGCCTGTCCTCCCAAACCATCTTACAAAAGTGGCAGCAAGTCATCTGTGGCAACAAATCCAAGAGAGAATCTGTTGGGAGTTTTCAGCAACCTTGCATGCTGCCTCTAGTAGGTCTGGCTAGGAGGGGCCTCTCTGGCTGGGGTGACTGTCAATCTATCCAGCACTAACCAATCTCTCCTTCTCTGCCGCTCTGCTAAGAGTGTTTTTCCCTCCCTAGAGTCTCTTGGTCAGTTAGTCTATTGAAGTCGGATGCTGAGAGCAGACATGTTTTGCCGTTCAATCTGTTCAAAACCGTAAGCAAAGAAAATGGTCTTTTTTTCCTACTTCAACTATCTCAGAATGAGTTACTGGAACTGTAAATGCCAGTTCGGGGGAAGGGAGGGCCACTTTAGGGAACTTGAAGCTAATTCTGCTCTGTGAATCCCTGCACCTCTGAAGCACAGCTAGAGGATTTTAACCAAAAAAATCCAAAACTCTGCAACAGAGTCTTGTGACATCTTAGAGACTAGCAGAGTTTCATTGGGCACATGCTTCGTCTCTTGCACCTGACCTGCATTCCACAAACACTTATGCCAAAGAAAGCTGGCCACCCTTTAAGGTCCTGCAAGGCTCTTTGCTGGTTTTGCTACCTCGCAGGGTTATTGTGCAGGTAAGATGGAGAGGAGGAGGAAGAGCTGTGTGCACCCCCTGTGGCCTCTTTGGAGAAAAGGCCTGCATGCAACTCAGGGCTCAAATCAAGTAAGACAGAAATGATAAAATACAATAAAAATATTTACGAAATGAAAGTAAAGCTCATGGTATCTATAGCGTGAACATCTTTGCAGTGTGATCCTGTCTTTCTTGATTGAGACTCACATTCCACTGGATTCAGAGAGGGTGTGTGCTCTCTGGTGAATGTGTGGACAGGCGTGTTTTATCTACCATATTTTTCCATGTATAAGACAATACCTTTGTCTAACATATTTAGATTTAAAATTGAGGGTCATCTTATGCACAGAAGTAAGGAGGGGGAGGGATTAAAGTGCTTTGATCCCTGCTTCCCCATCCCCCCACACACACTTTCTTGCGAAGAAAGTGCAAGAAAGTGGTGGGGGAAATAAAGTGGAGGGGAAAAGCAGGAATCATCAAAGCGCTTTGATTCCTGCTTTCCCCCTCCATTTTATTGCGAAGAAATAAATTTTGGGTTAGAAAAGTGTGTGTGTCAGGGGGTGTCTTATACATGGGGACGTCTTCTTATACACAGAAAAATATGGTATGTTTTTCAGCACCAAACTGCATTCACTATACAGCAGAGAAACTTACTTTGTGGATCCAGTGGAGGTTCATCTGCTGCCCAACTGCTATGTGACACAGAGCTAATATCTGCAAAGATAGCAAGAGACGTGACACCAACTGGTAGTATCGTTAACGGGGTTAATCAGTATTCAATAGTTGTTACATCCTCATGGCATTCACCGGCGCTCAATCAGCGGTCTCTCAGAGTTCCCAAGCTAGACATGGCCATGTGATGCTCATACCATGCACTGTGTCCTCGGCACCATACACGGAATGGTGCCCACCCAGGGGCTGACTGTGTAATCCTGGAAAGGGGCAGACTCTGGAGTTCTGTTTTAACAGAGACCGTACTCTGGATAGCTCTGTGGTTTAGGCATCTGGCCAGAGGTTGGGAGTTTGATTCCCCGCGGGGCTGGACTAGATGATCCCTAGGGTCCCTTCCAGCTCTGCTGTTCTAAGATTACTAAAGACTACCTTGCTTTGGGATTGACAAATTCGTGTCTCAGCAGGGACTGGACTTGGAGACTCTTAGCATCCTTTCCAGCTCAACCTTTCTATGATCCCATATTTCTTCCCACCTTGGGGGAGGTGAACAATGGCTTGTTTATTATTTATTTGTTTCTTAAATGTGTACACCACCCCCCCATGAGCGCTGGCGCATGGCTCTGGGAGGTTGACAGGGGACTGAAACAACGCAGGTAAGTAAAAATGAAAAAAAAAATCAAAACGTCAAGAGGCAGAAATACCAGAATACAATGTGGCACGGGCATGTAAACATGCAGAGCAATGGAAAACATGTCAAAACAGGGTTGCCCCCCCAAAAAAGGCAATGTTTTCAAAGATCTTTTAAACGTTGGGCAGGAGGGTCAAGAAAAGGCGATTCTGCAGCCTCAAGGGGACCAACCCAGACGGAAAAAGGTGGCTTGAGGAGGGGGAAACTGGTGAGCATCTTCTCCTGCTGTAATCCTTC